GTAATCCCAGTATTTTATGAGACAGAGGAGAGAGGATTGCCTGAGCCTGGAGGTTTGAGACCAGCTTGGACAACTCGGCAAGACCTCTCTCTACAATAAATAAAAAAATTAGCCAGACATGGTGGCACGTGCCTGTGGTTCCAGCTACTTGGAAGGCTAAGGCAGAAGGATCACCTGAGCCCAGCAGGTCCAGGCTGCAGTGGCCTTGAGGATGCCACTGTACTCCAGCCTGGGTGACAGAGTGAGACTCTGACTCATAAAACAAAAAAAAATAAAGAGTTGCATACCAGCCTGGGCAACATAGCCAGACTGCGCCCCTACAAAAAAAATTCAAACATCAGTGGGGTGTGGTGGCGTGTGCCTGCAGTCCCAGCTACTCAGGAGGTTAGAAGGAGGTGGAAGGGTAGCCTGAGGCCAGGAGATTGAGGCAGCTTGAGCTATGATTATGCCACTGCACTCCAGGCTGGGTGAGAGTGAGACTCCAATTCAAAAGTAACAAATAAGGAGTCACACAAGCCTATAAGACCTGAAATGTCCTTGCAGGGTTAGATGATTTTTGCTTTAAAAAAAACCTCAGGAAATTATAGAATTTTTGTTGTTGTTGTCGTTTTCAAGTAATATGCCATAGAAGGTGAACAAGAAAGAATGGAAGCTGTTACTTGGTGCTGATGACATAATCTACCAGATGGCAAAGAAGGTAAAACTCAAGTTTTATTTGCTTCCTCTCTCAAAGAGAATAATGTTTTAATGAAAAAAGTTAGAATAAGCATGATCTGTAGGCTACCAAAATCCAATGTGGAAAACTAGTAACCGTTTTAAATGAGTTAACTTTCTAGGCCAAAATGAATTATCCATGAAAGACATTGTGTAAGTGATTACAGAAACAATATTAGCTTAGGGAAGTCAAAGAGAAAGAAGAAATGCCCAAAGACTGAAGAAGCAAGTACTATTCTGATTTTCAAAGAGAATAAAAAATGGTAGGGACACAGAAGAGTCTGAGAATTATTGGTAAATTTAGCAGTGCCTAGCAATTGTATTATTTTATTTTAGAGTAAGGGTCTCCCTCTGTCATCCAGCTGAAGTACAGTGGCACAAAGTCCACTGTAATCTTGAACTCCTGAGCTCAAGCAATCCATGCTCACCTAATTTTGTATTTTTTAATGTTTTTGTAGAGACAGAGTCTTGCTATGATGCCCAGGCTAGAACCTAGCAAATTTCTGGAATGAATTTTTTTAACAACAATGAAAGAAAGAGGTAATCACTGGAGTCTACATGAGTTTATGGATAACATCAATTCACAGGGTTCTTTGATTGCAAGTCACAGACGTAAATCCTAGATAACTTAAGCCAAAAAATAAAAATTATGGAGTGCATAAACTGTAACAATTTGCACTGCCTTGTGTCACTTGACTCAAGATTCCGATTGGCCAGTCTTAGCTCACATGCTTCCTTGGGCGTACTGTGGTGATGAAAGGCAGGATCTTATGGAAAATGTCTTCAGCTGGGCACAGTAGCTCATACCTGTAATCCCAGCACTTGGTGAGGCTGAGGCAGGAGGACTGCTTGAGACCAGGAGTTTGAAGTTATATCACTCTGATCACACCACTATACTCTATAGCCTGGGTGACAAAGTAAGACTCTGACTCTGCCAATGTCAAATATTCCATATTTATGGCTCTTTTCTAAAATGCAAATTTGATGTCACTTCTATGGTTGAAGACTTCCTCGGCTCTTCATTGCCAACAGGATCAATTTCTAAACACTTAGCATGACAGGGTACAAGCTCTTCACTTCCGGGCCTGTGGCCTCAGCTCCATTCCAAGGCCGCTCAACATTTACTAAATATATCAGGCCATGTGCAGGAAGCTAAAAGACAAATACTCCTGCCCTGAGAAACTCACAATTTAGTGAGATGTGTGTGTTAGATTACCTCTTCTCAATTGCTTAACATGTCTAAAGCAGAATTTACCTGAATAATAGCTAGGGTAACCATAAAAACTGTTTTTTATTTTTCCTTTCTATTTTCCTAGCATGGTTACTACCAGCACCAACCCCCCTTTTCAATCTCAAAAGTTTCTAAGTTTGGACAATAAATTACAGGTCATTCTAATGATAACATAACAATGTTTTCTCAGTTAATACTCAAGGCAGTTCTGTGAATGACTGTTAATTAAGCCCCAGCAGGAATGAGATGTTCCTATTGCACAATTTGAGGAGAGTTTAATAAAAGAGACTACCTGCAAAAGTGTGGGCAAAATGAAGGGACACCACAGGAGTCTGCTCTGGATCAGCCCAAGTAAGTGAGTGACCTTTGGTTGAGGGATGGTCCCAGAGCAAAGGAGCCTGGGAGAATACGCCCACAAACCTCTCCCTTCTACCACTGCTGCTCCCCACTGCCTGAACTCAACTGGAAACCAAAGGGAAAGAAAGTCCACTGAGCTCCAGCTCCAAGGGCAGAGAGCAGGACAGGGAGTGGATTCAGCAGGCAGAACACATCCGCCCCCAGGACTCACTGTTACCACTCTACTTTACAATAAGCAAAAAAAAAGTGAACCGGATCGGTGGCTCAGCCTGTAATCCCGCACCTTGGGAGGCCGAGGTGAGTGGATTGCCTGAGCCTGCGGGTTCGAGACCCGCCTGGCCAACTTGGCGAGACCTCATCTCTACAATAAACCAAAAATTAGCTGGGTGTGGTAGTGCGCACCTGTAGTTCCAGCTACTTGGAAGGCTAAGGTGGAAGGATCGCCGGAGCCCAGCAGGTCTGGGTGACTGAGACTCCAACTCAAAAAACAAACAAAAAAATTTCACTTGTTTGATGCCTCGATGGTGAAAGTGGTCATCCCTAGCTAAAGTGCGATGTTCGTTGCACCTTGCCATCTCCCTCCAAGTATCCGACTCTCCCCGGGGCATCCTCACATCTCATCTGAGACACTGGAATACCTTGCTTTAAGCTTTTGTGATTAGATGAACTCAGCAAGGCAGGCATTTCATAATCTAATACTCTAGTCAACTGAATTTACAACATAAGTGTTCACAAACAAATACATAACACGATTTAAACAAACACAATACTGAAGTCTGGTCTGCGGAATGTAACGCACAATGGAGGGGTTCCTTTGCAGTCACCCTCACATTCAGTTGGCAGTGTGTAGGGCCCCTTTTCCTATGGTTTACCTGAGGCCTCTGGTCCTTGGGCAGCACTGCTGCTGTCTGATCCTCCCTATGGGAGAAAGAATAAAATGTCCACGGAGTAGAGCTGAAGAAGAAAGTACTCTGTCTTCCTCCTTCCTTTGCATAGCACCTATCCATGTGCCTCTTTTTTTTTTTTTGAGCTGGAATCTCACTCTGTCGCCCAGGCTGGAGTGCAGTGGCACGCTCACGGCCACTGCAGCCTTGACCGTCCAAGTAGCTAGAATCACAAGTGCGTGCCACCACCCGCAGCTAATTTTGTGATTTATTGTAGAGACGAGGTCTCACCAAGTTGCTCAGGCTGGTCTGAACCCCTGAGTTCAGGCAATCCTCTCGCCTCCGCCTCTCAGTGCTGGGCTAACAGGTGTGAGCCACTGTAATCTTAATTTAACACTTATAGAGTGCCTACCGTATGTTTGGCATAAAATGTTGGTCCCTAGCTTCAAAAGATTTGTGGTCTAACGGGCAGAAATGGGCCAAAATGGACGAGGCTGGAGCTCCGCAAGCCTGGGTCTGCCCGCAGGCTGGGCAGGTTCTTTTAGCGCCCCCGCTCTCCTGCCAGCAGCCTTCAGCTGGGTGACCTCGTGCCCCTCGCCCACTTACCTGAGCAACTCAGTGCCTGCCGCGGCAGGCCTGCGCAGGAAGACGATTCGTCCTTTGCGGGAATTCAGGGCCGCGGGAGTCAGGGACGGCTGGCGGAGCGACTGCAGCGACCCCCGCCATCCGGGTGTTTTAAGTCTCAGGTCAGACGCTGAGGCGTCCAGGCCCGAGAGGCGGCTGGTCCTTCACCTGGTTCTAGAGACCAGGTTTTCTCCAAGGGCCGATCACTGCTCTCACCCCACCCCTCACCTCCCGGTGCTTGCGCCCCGCCGGTTCCCCGCCCCTCGATCACCGTGTCCCCGTGGGCGCCCCCTCTGGCCCACGCGGCCGCGGGAATCTCCAGCAGGCCCGGCCACGCCGCCGACGGATTCCGGCCCTGGCGCCGCGCCACCCCCAGCGCACCGCGACCGGCCACCCCTGATAGACACGCCCCAACCTCTACTGGAGAAGCAGCAATCTTTCCCCGCGGCGGAGTCGCCGCTGCCCCGCGCGCCCCCGGGTCCCTGGATGTCTCCAGCGGTCGAAAGCAGCCGGCGGGCCCCGCGTGTGACCTCTTCGGTCACGCCGGGGCGGCCTCGGTCCCTCCGTTCTCCGTGGGGGCGTTTTCCTGTCCTCGGCTCTAGCGGGCGGCAGTGGGGACCTCCCCTCTCCAGCGCCGTCCCCTCCCCGCCGGGCGCTACCGACAGTCCGGCTGCCGGTCCCTTCCGAAGGGAAGGCGCGAACAGGGGCAGCTCTTCGCTCGCGGGGGCCTGCCCGGCTCCAGCTCGGTCGCCCGCGGCTGCGCCGGGGGGCCCGCAGCCTCTTCCAGGCAGGCGCTCGCCTGAGCTAGCTTTCTCCCCGCCTCCCTCTTCCTCTCGGCAGCCGCTTCGCTGAGCGCGTGGCGGGACCCGGGGCGGGACCTTGCGCCCGGGCTTTTACTCGGGTTCCGGCACACGGTGGACCTGGGGGGAGCGCACAGGCGTGGGCCTCTCGATGGCTCAGGAGAGGATCGCCTGGGGAAGAGCGGCTGAATCTGGGGAGCGCGACCCTGCGGCCGCGACCCGCGGACCTGCACTCAGGGCTCATGCCCCGCCCTCTGCTCCGCCTACGCTGGGCGCGTCGGCTCACCCCCCTGTCCGGGAAAGCGAATGGTCCCTTCCAGGCGGGTGGCCATGTTGCTCACATAAAACGGGCGGGGTGGTGCGGGGGGCGCAGATGCCGCCGGCGCGAGCAGGGCGCAGCCGCGAAGGAGGTGCGGGGGAGGCTAGCCGGAGCCCGAGCGCTCGCAGCAGCCGGCGTCGGCGGGGAGCGCCCGGGCGCAGCCGCGATGGCGGTGGCAGTGGGGAGACCGTCCGT